ATGTGGCAAAGGTTATCTGCTTTGTATGAGCCCTCATCGCAGGTCAGTGTGCATCTCGTACAACAACGTTTCTTTAACTTAACCTTTGAAGAACCAATGATGAACTTCATTTCAAAACTGGAAGAAATAGCTAACCAGCTAAGAACGTTGAACGAACCACCATCAGATAATATGCTAATTACCAAGATTTTGATGTCTTTGCCAGAGAAATATAAACACTTTGTAAGTGCTTGGGAGTCGGTGCCTGCGTGTCAACAAAACCTAAAGGAACTAACCTCAAGATTATTGATTGAAGAAGAAAGAAATAACCAAGGGGAGTCTACATCATCTGCATTTGCGACCAGAACCAAATTCAAGGGAAATGGCAACAGTGATAGAAAGTGTTTTGTGTGCGGCAAAGTTGGACACATGAAGCGTGACTGTCATCAGAAAAAGTGCTATCGTTGTAACAAAACCGGCCATATGGCTGCTGAGTGTAACCAACAAGTAAAGTGTTATCAGTGCAACAAGTCTGGACATTTGGCTAAAAACTGTAATTTATCTCAAAATAAGTTTAAAAATGCATTCATAGTTCAAGAGCCTAAATTACATATTAAAAATAATTTGGATTTCATAATGGATTCAGGAGCTAGCGAACATATGACATATAATAAAAGGTTTCTTCAGAATTTTTGTAAAATTGATAAAAAGGTAATAGTTGGGGATGGGAAAAGGTTAAATGTTGAAGGCATGGGGGACATACATTTGTTGGCTTACAATGGCTCAGAATACATACCTTCTGTCATGCATAATGTGTTATATGTGCCTGATTTAAATGTGAATTTATTTTCTTTGGTTAGTGCTGTTGACCATGGCTACATGTTATCATCAAGTGAAAACTATTGTAAATTTCTCAAAAATGGATCAGTTATGGCTCAAGCTAAACGTGTAGGAAGTTTGTATTTAATGGAATTTAAGATTGAAAGTAACTCTGATCAAAATGACTGTAATGCTTTATTAAGTTTGTCCACATGGCACGAAAGACTAGCCCATCAAAATTTTAAACATGTCAAGGAAATATTAAATAAAAATAGTGTCAAATATGAAGGGCAGATTGATCAATGTCGGTCTTGTATACAGGGCAAGCAACATAGGTTGCCTTTCTTTAGCAGTGAGAGCCGTGCTGAGCGACCAGGAGACTTGGTGCATGCAGACTTATGTGGCCCGATGGAGACAAGATCTTTAGGTGGGTCTTCATATTTTTTATTATTAAAGGATGACTACAGTAACTACAGGTTTGTGTATTTTCTTAAAAGTAAGTATGAGACGAAAGAGAGAATATGTGAGTTTCTTGAGCAATTTGAAAATGAGTTTGAATGCAAGGTGAAAAAGTTTAGATCGGATGGTGGTGGGGAATTTAAAAACAGGGAGTTGGAAGGGGTGTTTAAAAGGAAAGGAATTTTGCATGAATGTACTGTGGCGTATACTCCAGAACAAAACGGTAGAATAGAAAGAGAGATGCGAACAATTGTAGAATCAGCTAGAACTATGATCATAAATGCGGATGTAAGCAAGGAGTTGTGGGCTGAGGCTGTGAGTAATGCTGTGTACACAATAAATAGGACAGGTTGCAGTAGCCAGAAAGGTAAAACACCATATGAACTAATTTATAAACGAAGTTTTGACATCAATACATTAAGATCTTTTGGAACTGAAGTATACACTCACATCCCCAAACAAAGAAGGCTAAAGTGGGATTCAAAAGCAAAAATGGGTAGGTTTGTCGGCTATGGAATAAATACAAAAGGTTATAGGATTTGGTTTGAAAATAAGAGAGATGTTGAAACTCATAGAGATGTTGTTTTTGTGCTAGGAATGAAAAGAAATGAAGATATGGAAGATAACAGGATCAGTCAGAGGGAGGGTGACATAGAAGAGGTGTGCCATAGCGATGATGAGGAGACAATGGGAGAAGAGAGTGAGAATATAGAGAATCATGAGGAAATGGAAGAGAAGGAATATGGAAATTTACCGGAAGAAATAACAAATGTTGATGAAGAACAAGAGAGAGAAAGAAGATCTGAAGTGGGTGCTGGTCAAAGGAGATATGCGGACAAGGACGAGGAATATGAATCAGAAGAATGGCATAGCCCAGATGAAGCAAGGTTGGAGGAAAGGAAAACAAGGAGTGGCAGAATAGTAAAAACCCCTCAAAGGTTGAAAGATTATGAGGTGGGATTGACGGCACAAGGCGAAGAAGACTTAACGTATGAAGAGGCAATAACTGGGAAGGATAGTAAGGAATGGTTGGAGGCGATAAATAGGGAGCTGCAAGCACTGAAAAGTAATAATACATGGATAGAAACGGATTTACCTAAAGGTCAGAAGACAATAGACAGCAAGTGGGTTTTTAAGGTGAAGAGAACTGAAGGTATCTATAAGGCAAGATTGGTCGCTAGGGGTTTTAAGCAAGACAGTAAGTTTGATCATTCTGAAATATATGCTCCAGTAGCCAAGCTACCAACTTTACGTATCTTGCTGGCTGTAACATGCAAGTATGGTTTAGATATACAGCAGATGGATGTGAAAAGCGCTTTCTTGTATGGAAATATAGAGGAAGAAGTATATTTGGAAAAACCAAAAGGTATGGAACAGGATGGAAAAGTATTAAAACTTCAAAAATCATTGTATGGACTGAAAAAGTCACCGAGATATTGGAATGAAAGGTTCAATAAATTAATGATACAGGAAGGGTTTCATCGTAGTAACTGTGACTATTGTTTATATTACATGCCAGGAAAAAGATTTTATGTACTATTATACGTAGACGATATACTTTTGATTTCAGAAAATAGTAAACAAATTGAAAAGCTAAAAGAAACACTTAAGGAAAACTTTGATATGAAGGACATGGAAGGAATTTCTAAGTATCTAGGAATCAACATTAAAAGGAATGAAAAGTCAATAGTAATTGATCAGATAGATTATTTGAAAGAAATTTTGAAGGAATACAAGATGGAAGAATGCAAGCCGGTTAGTACACCTATGGATCCTGGAATGAAAATTGAGAAACAAGATTATCAGAATGAAGAATTGACAAGAAAGTGTAGAAAGTTAGTTGGAAGTCTTATGTATGCTATGTTAGGTACTCGACCAGACTTGTGTTATGCTTTGGGTTATTTGAGTCGTTACCAAGGTTGTGCAAATGAGGATGTATGGAAGGGTTTAAAAAGGATTTTAAGATATATAAAAGGAACTTTACATATGAAATTGGTTTACAGTATGAACGGTGATGAATGTTTGGTTGGATACACAGATGCAGACTGGGCAGGAGATCAGGTTGACCGGAAGTCTACATCGGGCTACATAATGCAGTTGTATGGGTGCACGGTCTCATGGTCGTCCAGTAAACAACAGTGTGTATCATTATCTTCAACAGAAGCTGAGTATGTTGCTTTAGCTAACGGGATATCTGAGGGTTGTTGGATTATAAACTTGCTGACAGAAATTAATTTAAAGTGTAATCAAATTGTTATGTTTGAGGACAACCAATCTGCCATTCATATTGCAAAAAACCCTGAACAACATAAAAGATTGAAGCACATAGATTTGAAATATCATTATATTAGAGATAGAGTTGAAAAACAAATTGTTATTCTAAAATATATACAAAGTGAAAAACAAATTGCTGACATGTGTACTAAGCCTTTGGCTAAATCTAAATTTGAAAACTGTAGAAACAAGGTAGGATTTTGTAAAATGTAGTTTTACAAACTAGGCCCTGAGTTGCATCATAATTTATTTGGAATTTGATACTTTAGTTATGGTTAGAGAGGTATGGTGCAGCCCGGGATGAGTTTTTTTTTTATTTGTAAGTGTATTAACATTTAAGTTAGTTTGAAACTTTAATTGTTTGTTGGAGATGTGTCATTGAGGAAGGGTGTTGTGGTGAGAACAATGCCACATCACTAATGTCGTGTCACCTCACTAGCGGATACGGAAGTGAACCTCTCTGCTGTCATGGAGGCGGGCACCTGAATATTAAGAAATGCAATGTCATTACTTTCACGCGGAAGAAAAGTCCCATCGTTTTTGATTACTCAGTGAACGACAATATAATCAAGCGCGTGAATGAAGTGAGGGATTTGGGTGTTTACCTCGATGCTAAGATGTCCTTTTGTTGCCATTTGGATGCTATATCGGCCAAGGCTTATCGTATGCTGGGATTTGTTTTGAGAACTGGAAAGGAATTTAAGAATTGTTCTACGCTTGTTCTGCTGTTTAATTCTTATGTGCGTTCTATTTTGGAATATGGATCTGCAGTTTGGAATCCTCACTATCAGAAATATATCAATATGTTGGATCGTATCCGAAATAAATTTATTAAACACCTTCATTTTAGATGTTCTAACAGAGGTACTTGTTCTCACATGGAATCTGTACCCTCACTCACTGACCGTCGCATTGAAAGAGACCAGATATTCCTATTCAAATTGCTGCACAATTTAATTGACTCTCCTTATCTTTTAAGTGAAATATATCTCCGTTGCCCCCGGCTTAGTGCCCGTAATAGGTGTCTTTTTGATGTGCCCCTTTGTAGGACTAATTATGCTTTCAACACCTTTTTGCCTCGCGCTTGCCGTTGCTACAACAAACAATTCCAAGAATTAGACATACTTGGGTCTAGTTTAAGTAAGTTTAAAAAACATATCCGGGATTTGTCTTGTGGCAACTAAATTGCGAGCGTCGGGTGATGTTTGCAGTTCGCTCCTTTATTAATTAGGTAAGTAGTTGATAATTTTTCTTTTGTCACTTTGTTTACTTTTTTTATATAAGTTTATATTTTTCACAACAAAAATTTAGTCATAATGGTTTGCCCAACTTTATGTGTATATTTAACTGTGGAAACTTAATTGGTTTATGTGTTTTCTCACTGCACCTAAGTTAAATTATATTGTAACTGTATGTTTCCCAAAAATAAATAAATAAAAAATAAAATAAATAAAATTAATGGATTTGTAGAGATAGGAGAAGAACGCAAGCAAAAATTTGCAGATCATGCATTAGTTTTTATGATCAGAGGAATAATATGCTCTTCATGGAGACAGAGCATTGCGTACTATTTCTGTGCTGGAACAGTTTCTGCAGTGGAGCTACAGAATATACTGAAGAAAATTATACCTTTCATTTCTGAGACTGGTCTGTAATTTTGTGGAGATATGTATATTAGTCACGCCGATGGCCTTTCTCGGGACTCAAACTATCTCTATGTCAAATTTCATCAAAATCGGTTCAGTGGTTTAGGTGTGAAAGCGGAACAGACAGAGTTACTTTCCCATTTATAATATTAGTAGGATAGTCCAATGAAAACTTAATGGGCGGCTCGGACACCGCCTGGCGCGATTTTCCAAGCAATAAGTTTGCATCTGACTGTACCTATTTAATTATTATTATTTCAGATAAGCAGCTCAACAACTGCATGGAGACTATGGGGACTACAGCAACAATAGTGCTGTTTTTTGATGAACTCTTTGACAGCGTTAATGGATCACCAGGAGGAACGAAAGGAAAACTCCGATTTGCTGTTAAACAGAATTCTCCACATGAAGATTTTTGGAGAAATTCTATTCAAGAACTGAGGAAGATAAAATTTATCGACACAAAAAGCAAATTGTCTGTGCAAGCTGGGAGGCCAAGGCATGTGCGTGTTCCGTCGCTAGATGGGTATTTTATTAGGTATTTTATTATTATTTAGACGCCAAATTATTATTTTCAAAATTTGGGGTAGAATATTTTTACCCCAGATACATTAATCAGGATCCTTTAGAAAATTTCTTTGGTCGTATTAGAGCTGTCAATTATAGAAATACAAATCCTGATGTAAACAGTTTTGTATACACCTTCAAATCATTAGTGTTATCAAACATGTTAAGCCCGCACTCAAAATTTTCTAATTGTGAAGAAGACAATGGCGATACACTGATCGATTTAAATTATTTATTTACGACACACGACTTTCACGATAGCCAAAATATCGCGCCAAACGTTTCAATTACGCCATTGTCTTCTGGAAGTTCTGGAACAGTTATTAGCACTGAAAGTGTAATAAATGAAAAAGTGCGGGTGCAAATATCGGTGTATACTGCTGGATACATATGCAGAAAATTTACAAAAATATATAATTGTTCCATTTGTGCTAAATCATATGTGACCAAAGAAATACAAGGGATCCATAAATACAGTGTGAGTCACGTTAAAGTGTACATATGAAAATAGATGAAACAAGACCTATTTTTATCGACAAAAAAGAGGTCAAAAAATTTTTGAGTTTTTTTTTTTAATTTTTTATAGAATTTTTTTTCTTTCAATTACTTATTGTAAAGAAAACGTAATAACTTTTAAACTAAGCGGTATATCCTGATAAAATAAAAACAGTAATAATGCTAAAAAACAGGCGATACTAAAAAAATACATAAAATACACAAAAAAGGCCAACAAGTAATAAAAAATGATACTTTTTGAAAAAAAAACTGCTTTTAAATTTGTGTTTTTTTGGTTATTTGATAAATTTCTCCAAAAAATGCCCCTATAACAGGTGGTTTTTATTACATTGTATTATTTTCTATCGTATTATCTTTGTAAAACCAAAAATCGCATGTCTCTATCCCTATCACAACATTTGCTATGAGCGTTTGAACAAAGGCCTGCCACAACATTATTCTCCGCTGCAGGTAGAGAAAATTTTAATTTTAACTAAAATGCTTATTTTACTTCGAAATCTTTTGTTTTTATTTGAAATTTAACTTGTCTTTATCTAAGTTACAAATCTAGAGCCATTTTCAGTTTCGTTGTTAACGAAGCGTTGAATAGCGCGCCCGGAGAGGGTTAGTTCAAACGATCATTGCAAATGTTGTGATAGGGATAGAGACATGCGATTTTTGGTTTTACGAAGGTAATACGATAGATAATAATACAAAGTAGTAAAAACCACCGGTTATAGGGGCATTTTTTTGAGAAATTTATCAAATAACCAAAAAAACACGAATTTAAAAGCAGATTTTTTTCAAAAAGTAGCATTTGTTGGCCTTTTTTGTGTATTTTATGTATTTTTTTAGTATCGCCTGTTATTTGGCATTATTACTGTTTTTATTTTATTAGGATATACCGCTTAGTTTAAAAGTTATTAAGTTTTCTTTACAATAAGTAATTGGAAGAAAAAAAATCTATAAAAAAATTAAAAAAAATCTCAAAAATTTTTTGACCTCTTTTTTGTCGATAAAAATAGGTCTAGTTTCATCTATTTTCATATGTACACTTTAACGTGACTCACACTGTATATCCAATATAGAGAATACAAAAGGTTGAAAAATAATAATTTGGCATATCCTAATGATTTTTTTTTAAGATTATAGAGAATGTTCCCAAGTAATGGTAATAATAATGGCCACAAAATAAATATTTATAAAAATCTTATAGATATTTTATAAAAAAATATATATCCTGGCTTGGGTGCAAATCTCACCAACTGAATTTAATAAAATATTGTGTTACACTTATAATACGTCTCCAATCTCATAATTGGTGTACCTAATATAATAAATAAAATTTTAGACGGAAAATTGGATGAAAAATATGTTAAATGGAAAACATGCAAATTTTAGCATTAAGTAAATAAAAGTCATATAGATTAAGAAAACTTAAACTTAATAAATAATAATTACGATTAATAAGTGTTTTATTAAACATTTTATTGTAATAAATTGAAAAGCTAATAATCATACCCTGATCGCCGCGACCAATGACAGGACGCGTTGATGTGAACTCATCGCTACAAATTCATACACGCTGTCTGGTCGCCATCGCAATCGTGCACGCCGGCTGCACGCGTTGGTTTGGCCGAACCTTAAAGCTATCATTATTTGAGATGGAACATATCTATTTGTGGAGAAGAGTAGTTTAGTTTCCCTGATGAAACCTTTTATGAAAGTCTGCGCTGACGGTTACATTTTGGATGTTGTTGGACCATACGCCGCTGTGACGACAGATGCCGATATTATGAGAAAAATCTTATTTAATTATAACGAACCAATGGAAGATAATCCCTTCCATTATTTTCTTGAACAAGGCGACGTACTAATACTAATATTGGACAGGGGATTTCGCGATGCCATTCCTTTGATTGAATCATGCGGTTATGATCCACACATGCCGTCTTCTTTACCACGAGGTCAAAACCAGCTGAGCACTGAAGAACGAATAAATCCGAGATAATTAACCAGTGTCGTTGGGTCGTGGAACTTCCGTGGAAGCAATCAACGGTCGCTTTAAGAGAGCTATAAAATATTTCCGCTCAGAATGTTTAACAGAGCCCTACACAAAACATTTGAAGATTACCAAATATAGCAGCAGCCTTAATAAACTGCTTCCAAGAATCCTTCCCTTCCCTATAGATGATAGCAACTATACTGACGAGCACTAATGCCTACAAGCAGGAAGTGCAGTACCTAACATATTGTAAATAAGAAATTTTTGCCGGAGCAAAATAAAAATAATTATTTAAATTGATAACAATTTATTGTGGTTGAGACACAAAAATTTTAAAAAGAAAAAAAAAGGGATGGGTCGTTGGGCCGTTTGGTTGGTACAGACTAAAAATACTAGACTAAGATGCAGACTAAGATTAGCGCGCCATTATCACCACTCGGCTCAACCCCCTCCGCACCCGTCGGGCGCAGCAAGCGTCTGGCACTGCGGGACAGCCGGTGCCAAACACCTTATAGCCGGTGCCAAACGGAGCAGCCGGTACCATACACCTCCTATTGTACAATAAAAAATTATATTATACAAACAGCACAATAGTAAAAACAATTTAAAAACAATAATCCATCGCTCTCGGGGATGGAGCAGATGTGGACACAGCAAAATCCAACGGTAATTCATTACACTGGTAAATCTATTTAGAAGGTAACTGAAGGGAATCAGGTATATTTTAAAGTAAAAATGCGAAATAATTTCAACAGACTTGTGTACTGATCGAATCCAACAGACAGTNGTATGCCCGGAAAATAACCGGCCAGAAGGTTGAAGGGTCAAGCTCACAGCGTTGGACCGGCGCAGGACGGCGGTCAAGCTCACAGCATTGGACTGGCGCGGGGTGGTGGTCAAGCTCACAGCAATGGACGGCGGCGGCGGTCAAGTGGAGAACATTGGACCGGCGCGGCGCAGAACGAGGTTGCCCGCGAGTGCTTTGGATCACAAGGGTGAGCGATATTGTTTTCCATTTTATTCTTTTGCTGAATACTTGTTGTTGTTGGTTAAAGATTGTCGCCAAGATTGAGTGGCAGACGTTTCAATAATGTTACTGTAATGACCGGTATAGGTCAAACACAGTACATAGTCAGCACAGAATAAATTTTATGTTGTGTAATGATTAGGGATGCCCATCAGTCGAGTGCCGATTGATTGGTAATAACGATGATTTGAGTAGTGATGTTGGTGATGTGGAGGCCACTGAGTGATAGTCACAGGAATGACTACCACTATCTTCGTAATCACAGGGATGATTACATAATTTTGACTTAATGACGGACCATGGACTTTCGACTTGTGACGATATCGTGATCACAGGGATGATTGCGATTGGTAATGTAGTCACAGGGATGACTTGGGGTATAGTGTGCAGTTACAGGGATGATTGCAATAGTAGTCACAGGGATGATTGCTGGTGAGGGTGATTGTTACAGGGATAACATTCGCTCATTTTGAGAGTCACAGGGATGGCTTTGCAAAGTTGTGGCACTTACATACCTACTATTCATGATGCTTTCTTTATATTTGACTAAACGGCACTTGTACCTACTTTTTGGCTTTTCTCTAATATTTTCGTTAAAGTATGTTTTATAGGAAAAAGGTAGTTTTCAGTTAATGAATTTTCATGTTTTACCATCTGGTAAAATGTAGTTGTTTGCAAATTAGTATTACGTAAAATCAAGTGATAATTTTAATCTTAATTCAAAATAATTTTTAGTTTGGCTCATTGGTACAAATGGTATCAAAAAAAAGTGCGCCGTTAAGAACATGCAATAAATTACCTCACGTGCTCAATCACGCGTGACCTCAGCTGAGTTTACATTGAGTGAAGATGTTATTGTAAATTATTTGGTTCCTAGGTGGTAGTTTCACCACTGATGTGAATATTATCGATACGGACGTACGTGACGGATGTAAATAGACTAAAACTATTAGAATTGCTTAAATAGACTTCCTGAATTCCTTGTCGGTTTACCTTGTAGGTACTCGTTTAGTAGAATACGGGCGGTGAGCTTAAAATAAGATTTCATCTTAGGAAAGTAGCAGCCTTGCCACTTTGCACTTGCGTACCTACTATTTCATGATCAATTGAGAAGAATGCCATAGGGTTATGTACCAGTCTAAAGTTGAAGTCGAGGTACATGGTGATCCGCTTTGCAATGGAGGGAAGTCGAACCTTAATTTCGAACTCCTCCTATGTTGTTATTTAATTTTTAGCGTTAAGAGTCGCATCTTATAATTTCCTCCTATGTTCTTCTGATTAATTTCGTTGCGGGTCCAATGACAGTTTAACTTTCCCCCGGGACAAACTTGACCTTCATTGGTTGGGTTTTTGTGGCGGTCAAGCTGTAGATCCTGGCTACACAGGAGTTGCAGTGGTGGGAACGAGAGGTGGGAATAGTACATGGTGATCACAGTTGTGGTGATGATGATTATTTTTTCTGTAATGGGAACTCGAGTTTGCTTTTGAGCCGTAAATCGTGGTGTGTAGTCCGTGGGTGATGCACACAGTGTTGTGATGGTACTTAATGGTACAGTTTCAGTAATGGTGATTACTGCGGCATATGGAGATACTCGAGTGTCCTACGAATTTATTAGTGACTAAGATTATTGAAGTGTTGAAGTTAATGATCATGTTACATAGCCCTGGCTACTTCTATGTTATTAGAGTTGATAATGTATCAAGTGTCGATTTTAGAAAATAATTAGAATTGAGTTAGTTTACTTTCATGTTTTAATAGCAGTGATTATGGTAGCGATTGGTAGTGTAATTATGAACATTGGATTGCAATGAAATTAGAACGCCTGAGGTAGACGTGTCTAATGTAGTACAAAAATGCTAGATAAAGTATTTGGTAGATGAGTGTACTTGATGGAGGTACATTGCTTTTTTATGGATGATAATGAATCTCCTACATTCATATGGAGAAGGACCTTAAACCAGTTGTAGGATTAGTCGATCAAAACTCAATTATTTTAAAGTTACTTTTCTCAGTATCGTAGTATGCAAGTCACTCACATTGCTTGCATCTCCCGTGCATTCGTAGTCGTAAGCGTAAATCGGGCCTGATTTCCTGTAGCAGTGCGGCCATGACTGTGAATGGCATGCGTTTGGCGGGGAGGTGTAAACGATCGCTGTGTGTCCACCGGATTGTTTGTATTCGGGTACCGGAGGGAGGTAGCCCATGATTGTGTTGTATTTGGGTACTGGATGAAAGTAGCCCATGATGTGATTCGGGTACCGGATGGAGGTAGACCCATGTTTGTAATATGGTGTAAGAAACAATCGGATGGAGATGAAGAGTATTGTTTACTGCTTTGCTGACCTTAGTTATTATGATGCTGTAGTTTATTGAGTTTTGATGGACCTTAATCTCTATTGTGTTTTGATAATGTATCAAGCGATCGCTAGGTAGATACTTAGTAGCGTACGTGTCTCGCTGTATCGCTGCCGCGTTTCCGAATAGTCATCCGTTTAAAATCTAACTGATCGTTGATTATTTCGTATTAAATTCTAATTGATTGTGGGAATAGACGTCTATACTACAAATAGAGACAAGCAGGGAATGTTCTTGGCAAGAAGCGCTTCCTGATGTTCAACTCGCATTAAGTTGTTCAGTAAATCGCGTCACTAAGTTCAGTCCACTTGAGCTGTTAATTGGCAAAGTAGCAAGGCCCCTAGATTTGATGTTTACTGATGAGGAATTTAATGAACTTAACGAATCAAGGACTTTGGCTGTTTAAAATATGGAAGCTAACGCGACTTCCGATAAAACTAGATTTGAGGGGACAAAGTCTAAAGTAAATAGATTTTCTGTTGGTGACTTTGTTCTTTTACAAAATAAAGAAAGGAATCAGACAAAATTAGATCCTAAGTACAAAGGGCCATTTCGGGTGAGTGAGGTTCTAGAGGGTGATAGGTATGTGCTAAATGCACTTAACTCTCGGAGAACGTACAAGTATGCACATGACCGTTTGCGCAAATTGCCCGAGTCTAGTACTACATTATGTGACAATGACGAAAGTGATTCGGATTGACTTACTATCCCCTGTATAATTGCCAATGTTAGACCGACAGATAGGAACACAATAAAGTTTGGTTTTGATCATGACCGCGCACTTATAGTGTGTGTATTGGACTGTATTGTTTGTTGTATCCTACCACCAGAGTGGTAAAGAGTGCTGAAGCTAGGAGTGTATTCTGCCACGTGGCTGAGTGTGTCAGCCAGTGGTAATGGTATTCTATCGTCAAGGAGAGTGATGATAATGAGTGCAGACAGCACTGAAGTATTCTACCGCTGTGTGAGTGGTAAAGAGCCTAAGCACTGATAAATGGTATTGCAGTTCAGATGTTCCTAGCTGTCTGTCAAAAAAAAAATGTTTCTAAGGATATCGAATTATGAGTTTTCCAATGATTTTAGCT